ACTTCCCAGTACTACTTTGTACTACAAAGCTTGCACAAACTACTTCCCAGTACTACTGTGTACTACAAAGCTTGCACAAAGCACTTCCCAGTATTACTTTGTACTACAAAGCTTGCACAAAGCACTTCCCAGTACTACTTTGTACTACAAAGCTTGCACAAAGCACTTCCCAGTACTACTTTGTTTTACGAAGCTTGCGCGAAGCACTTCCCAGTACTACTTTGTACTACAAAGCTTGCACAAAGCACTTCCCAGTACTACTGTGTACTACAAGCTTGCACAAAGCACTTCCCAGTACTACTGTGTACTACAAAGCTTGCACAAAGCACTTCCCAGTACTACTTTGTACTACAAAGCTTGCACAAACTACTTCCCAGTACTACTTTGTATTACAAAGTTTGCGAAAAGTACTTCCCAGTACTACTTTGTACTACAAAGCTTGCAAAAAGTACTTCCCAGTACTACTTTGTTTTACGAAGCTTGCGCAAAGCACTTCCCAGTACTACTTTGTACTACAAAGCTTGCGCAAAGTACGTCCCCGTAATACTTTGTGATGCAAAGCTTGCACAAAGAAAGCTTTTACACACAGCAAGTTCTTTCGCAGAGAAGCTTTTACACACAGCAAGCTTTTAAAACAGAGACGCTTTTACACACAGAGAAGCTTTTACATACAACAAGCTTTTACGCAGAGAAGCTTTTACACACAGCAAGCTTTCACACACAGCAAGCGTGTACACACAGAACACTTACACACAGTGCTTCTACACATGGCAAGCGTTTACACAGACAGAAGCTTTTACACAGAGACGCTTTTACACACAGCAAGCATTTACAGAAAAAAGTTTTTACACAGAGAAGCTTTCTTGTACATAATCACAACAGGAATTGCAGCTCCAAAACCGGATCTCGACGCCAAAGCGAAAAAAAATACGATTTGAAACACTTTTCAAAAGGACTTTTAAAGGAAAATTACTAGCGCCAAAATTCAGAAAATCTGCTGATAAATCACTTTCGCAGCCTTGATGCAGCCATTCCAAGACGATTTACGGGAGGGATCTCGACGCCAAAGCGAAAAAGACGATTTTGAAGCACTTTTTCAAAAGAACTTGAAAAGGAAAATTACTAGCGCCAAAATTGAGAAAATCTGCTGATAAATCACTGTCGCAGCCTTCATACAGCCACTCCAATACTATTTACGAGATCCAGCTGCAAAAGACAATAGTATTACGCATGCAGCCGCGGCACCAAGCAACCTGGACACAGCCACTTCAATGCGATCTGCAACCACAGATTCAACACAGAGGAGGAACCCATTACGTCCGGAACGCCCCCAGCCGCAACCGCCGCACACTCGAGGTACCTTTCATCGCCGGCTGCAACCACTTTACACGGAAAAATACAAGGTTTCGTGCTCCGGCTTCCTCCCCAAAACAAAGCCCATGCAACATTCATGCAGCCATTACAATACGTTTCGCAGCATCACGTGGCTAACGCGCATGTATCTACACACATGGCAACACCAGATGACAACAATCATGCAGCCACTCCAATGCGATCTGCAACCACAGATTCAAGAAACGCAAAGAACTACGCACATAGACACAACCACTTGTTGCAGAACACAGAGGAGGAACGAACCAATTCGCGACAGAAACGACCGCAGCCGTAACCGCCGCACACACGAGGTACCTTTAATCGCCGGCTGCAACCACTTTACACGGAAAAATACAAGGTTTCGTGCTCCGGCTTCCTCCCCAAAACAAAGCCCATGCAACATTCATGCAGCCATTACAATACGTTTCGCAGCATCACGTGGCTAACCCGCATGTATCTACAGACATGGCAGCACCAGATGACAACAATCATGCAGCCACCCCAATGCGATCTGCAACCACAGATTCAACGAATAGAACTACGCACATAGACACAGCCACATGTTGCAGAACACAGAGGAGGAACGAACCAATTCGCGACAGAAACGACCGCAGCCGCAACCGCCGCACACACGAGGTACCTTTCATCGCCGGCTGCAACCACTTTACACGGAAAAATACAAGGTTTCGTGCTCCGGCTTCCTCCCCAAAACAAAGCCCATGCAACATTCATGCAGCCATTACAATACGTTTCGCAGCATCACGTGGCTAACGCGCATGTATCTACACACATGGCAACACCAGATGACAACAATCATGCAGCCATTCCAATGCGATCCGCAACCAGAGATTCAAGAAACGCATAGAACTACGCACACAGGAACAACCACTTGTTTCAGAACACAGGGGCGGAACCAATTCGCGCATGAAACGACCGCAGCCGCAACCGCCGCACACACAAGGTACCTTTCATCGCCGGCTGCAACCACTTTACACGGAAAAATACAAGGTTTCGTGCTCCGGCTTCCTCCCCAAAAAAGCCCATGCAACACTCATGCAGCCATTACAATGCGTTTCGCAGCATCACGTGGCTAACCTGCATCTCTCTACGCACATGGCAACAGAGCATGACAACAATCATGCAGCCATCCAATGCGATCCGCAACCAGAGATTCAAGAAACGCATAGAACTACGCACGCAGGAACAACCACTTGTTGCAGAACACAGAGGAGGAACCAATTCGCGACAGAAACGACCGCAGCCGCAACCGCCGCACACACGAGGTACCTTTAGTCGCCGGCTGCAGCCACTTTACACGGAAAAACACAAGGTTTCGTGCTCCGGCTTCTCCCCTAACACAAGCCCCATGCAACATTCATGCAGGTCAATTCTTTTGTGATGTATTGTTATGTCGTGTAAAGTCTCACACCGCCCTTCATCAAGGTCAATTCTTTTGTGATGTATTGTTATGTGCTGTAAAGTCTCACACCGCCCTTCATCAAGGTCAATTCTTTTGTGATGTATATTGTTACGTGATGTAGCCACTCACACCACCCTTCATCAAGGTCAAGTCTCACAATTCTATTTGTCCGTAACACGGAAGTATTGCTTCCCAACTTCCTTTGACAATGCCTGGACGTGTGTGCAATCCCATATCATATAACATTTTATTTGTGACCCCTTCTTCCTGGTATTAGATATCCCCCTAGAAACCCTGGCTTAGCATTGCATCTGTTCAAATCATGCCGGGGTCTCACTTTGGGAATTTAATATGATGGACATGGCATTACATACATTGCATCTCTCACAATGCCCTGCATCTCAACATCGGAGTAGAGACAGCAACCGGGTAGAGGACATTGAAACATACTTAGATCATGTGTGTACTTTTTACTCTTTACCATGGCATATTACGTAGGATGGCAAAACATGACGAGAGATGATGAGACATGATGAAACATGAGAAAAATCCCAAAGATCCCGGGCATTTTGGAAACATGGTGAGCTAGCTAATCTTCAGCTGCGATGGTTTGGAGATCAGGAGCAGGAGAGCTTTCGCTGTTGGTGAAATACAGCTGAATTTGTCAGACAAGTTCCTTGTAACTGCCCCGAACTTTCCTCCACCAGCCCCATGGGGCACAGTGAGAGGAGACTACATGTCTTTTCAGTCGGGTGCACGGATCGACTCAGGCCAGAGTCCAGAGATTTGGCTGAGAGATGCTGAGGTCCTTTCCTAGTAAACCGTGTAATCTGAAAGGATTGTAACATATTGTAACATCATACAACAATGATACAATGTGCCACACCAGGATGCACAAGGTGTGTGCTACCGGAGCCTTGTATCTATATCTTAGAGTATCTTGCCGTATCCGTCAGAATCCGTCAGATTTCCAGCACTTCACATCATTCTACACTCTACCTGCTCACATCAAAACTAATCCTTAATGATTACCCGGATTACGGATTACGGGTTTACGGTTTACTTCTGGTACCAAAGCTCAATGGTTTCGTTTGCTTACCGCGGGGGTACATTGATGTGTGCTTCAGAGTCTTACTTGTGATACCAAAATGGAGTGGTACTACCTTAAAAGCACTCATTTTGGGATCACCAGTGCCCATGAATACATTCACCGAGGAACTCCAAAATGAACCGATCCTTGACCCGTGCCTATATTTCAACTCATAATGGTGCCTATTTGTAACTAATGGGGCCATGTTGGGAGGTGCTGCAAAAGCCACTGGTGATACCAAAATGGAGTGGTACTACCTTAAAAGCACTCATTTTGGGATCACCAGTGCCCATGAATACATTCACCGAGGAATCCCGAAATGAACCGATCCTTGACCCTTGCCTATGTGTTAACTCATAATGCTGCCTGTGGCCATTTCAGGAGGTGCTGCAAGAGGCACTGGTGATACCAAAATGCAGTGGTACTACTAACCTTAAAAGCATTCATTTTGGGATCACCAGTGCCAATGAATACATTCACCGAGGAATCCCGAAATTAACCGATCCTTGACCCTTGCCTATGTGTTAACTCATAATGCTGCCTGGGGCCATTTCAGGAGGTGCTGCAAGAGGCACTGGTGATACCAAAATGCAGTGGTACTACTAGCCTTAAAAGCACTCATTTTGGGATCACCAGTGCCCATGAATACATTCACCGAGGAACTCCAAAATGAACCGATCCTTGACCCGTGCCTATATTTCAATTCATAATGGTGCCTATTTGTAACTAATGGGGCCATGTTGGGAGGTGCTGCAAAAGCCACTGGTGATACCAAAATGGAGTGGTACTACCTTAAAAGCACTCATTTTGGGATCACCAGTGCCCATGAATACATTCACCGAGGAACTCCAAAATGAACCGATCCTTGAACCATTGCCTACATTTCAATTCATAATGGTGCCTATTTGTAACTAGTGGGGCCATTTCGGGAGGTGCTGAGTGTTTACCTCCTGGAAATAGCTGAGAGCCCCTGCTGAGTCTTTCCCACACTATCAACTTTGTTTTCCTGGATTGGTTTTGTACTCATGATGGGTTACGGATTACGGATTAGACGGGTTTACAAGCCAGGCGCGGATTGTCGGGATTACGGATTAGTCTTGCGGCCGGTCGGTTTCGATGTGTACAGTCTACACATTTCTACACCATGTGATTACCATGTTTCACTTTTCCGATGAGGTGGAGGTCGACGAGGCGAAGAGTTGTGGATTCATTGGATTCCTAAGGAACACCGGTCCAATGCAAAATAAAGTCCTGCGATGGCTGATTGTGACAAGATGTGACAAGATGTGACAAGATGTGACAAGATGTGACAAGATGTGACAAGTTCAGGGTGCAGCTGCAAGATGTCTATAGATCCTCTAGTAACTCTAGTATTCTATAGTATGATAGAATTTCAAGGAAATCCATTGGCCATAGGTTTTTTTTGGCATTCTGGGTATTTCCCAGTGAGAACAAACAGGTGCCGCTTCCTTTGGCTTTTGGCCTCGGGAGTCTCGGGGAGACTCTCGAGACACTCGAGACACTGGTGGCTATTTGAGCTTTTGCATGGGTCCGCACCAGCCTGAGACGGTGTTTTGGTGCTGCAACGCTTCCAAGATTCGTTTCTGGCCATTTAGGATGGTCATTCACGGTGATACATAACACTTTTTGATACTTTTTGGATGTTTGGACAAGTTTTGAGCCAAGGAAGGAGTCAGTGGCAAAGGCTGTGCAGCAGCCAAATCTGGGACTGCAGCACCCTTAGGCCTGTACAATTACTTACTGTACATTCAATTTTTTTGTTAATACCAGATCACCCCGTACCTGAATGTAGTTGAATCGCACTGATGACTCCCGGAGTCCTTCTGAGAAGTCGGTGCAACTATGTAATTTCATAGGGAGGGTAGGTCATTTACCGCATTGACACTCTACAAATGTCGTCAAATCTTTACATTCTTTACACAGATGCTTGAGTCTGCTTGAGGTGTGGAATCCAAAGGCACAGTGGGCGAGACCAAGAGCATGAGTTCAAGGACTCCTGAGTTTTGGCATGCCGTGGCATACACTGCATATATGCATGCAGATGGCGTTTTATACATGGCATGAGACTACGTGTCTATACAATCTAAACCAATCGTTCGTGTATTCAGTTGTGCAATTTTAGATTTTCATCAACTTCAAATCATTTTATAAAGTTACTTCAACTGCAAGCGTGTAGCCTGGAGGTTCTTCGATTGCCAAGGTGCCTTGCCAGTCCAGAAACGAGTGACATCAACGATGCAGATGCCACGCTGATGTGATGCAGTCTACGCATGTTAGATCGATGTGCTGCTGCCTAACGATAGAGAACGAAGCAAGACGAAGTGACACTCCAAGCGGAGGTGTGGGCACTGCTCTGCTCCGGATAATGGGGTTGAGAACTTTGAGACCGAACTCAGCTTTCCAAGCTCTGACAAGGCGGGATCTTGAATCTTGAACTTTGGTGAAAACTGCTGAATTTTGTTGCTGCGATCTGCCCAAAACGTGCGTTGCTGCGCATTGTTCCTCAATCAGCAGGACATTCTTAGAGCTGTTCGTTTGCCCGATGCAGGGTGTTGGCACCACTGTGGCGCAGAGGTCATCAACATGCACTTTTAGCGGCAAGTACGGTGAAATGCTGGACATATCTGGACATATCTGGACATATCTGGACATATCTGGACATGATTGAATATTGAACAATATTGAACATGCCAGATTTCAAAACTCTTGCGCTGTGGTACCTGGCCAGGAACGTGCAGACTGCAAAGTCGGTCATTTGCGAAGTCTACAGAGACTTGGAACGACGGTGTCACGAGGTGTGTTTGGTGCTTTGACAATCTTTGGTAAACATTTCTTGTCGCGTACTTCTGCCACGTTGCTGGCAGGAGCGACGACAATACGAAGAATCTGGTCGGGCGCCTATAGATTTGAATTTAAATTTCAGAAAACTCTCACAAAGACAGATGCGACAGTGTGTGAGGCACACAGCCATCGCAACAAAAACTCAACTTTTGGTCCACGTACACAAATAAGGCGCACAGGGTGGGATGGAATGGGCATGTGCGGGCTGGGTTTGGACATTCCACGATTCCACGCAATGTTTTCTTGTCAAGCAGATTCAAGCTGTTGGCATGGCTCACAGTTTCCCCCATTTCATTATTTTACTCAACAGACATGAACAGGCTCACTATATATAAAACATATAATGTGTATAGTATATTTGAAGATAATTGTACGTAGTATTATATAGTTTGATATAGTATCATTCAGTATAATGTAATAATATTTATTGTTATATTATATTATACATATTATTATATTATATTATATTATATTATATTATATTATATTATATATTATAATTATATTATATTATATTGTATTATATTATATTATATTATATTATGTATATTATATTATATATATATTTAAATATTATATTACTTTTCTGGTATATAATATAATATAATATAAGCATATTATATCATGACATATCATGTTTTATTATATTATATATTTTTATACTATGTTATATTATCTATAATATATATATATATATATATATAAATATACATACATATGAATATCAATGAATATATCTAATGTCATTTTGCCAAATGTTTTTCTGAGTCCACGAGGCCCGTCTGCAGCACTTCACTAGCGAGTCTGTGGCATTTGTGCAGAAGAACCCTGAGTGCAGGACTGCACTGCATCGAGATTTTGGAAAGCGCGGTGTATTCGACTTGCACCGCTTTCTGTTCCTGTAGTTTGATAGGCCCCAGTCATTCAAAGCATGTTCATCTGGGCAGAGCGGCCCTTATGATGGAAAAACCAATGGATTGTGCTCTTCAACTCTCTTATGCAAACATATCCCGTAGATTCCTGTACACGTCATGGGGGATGTCGTATGATGTATACTTTATATACTCTGTCATGTTGCCACTGGGAACGTGCAGGAGCAGATTGTCGCATCCCCAGAATGCTTTGCATCAAGGAAGAACTGACCATAGGCTTGCTTGAATACATTGAATACACTGCAAATGTGCACCGCATTTCCTCCCCGCTCTGCGGTTATCTAGGGTTGAATATGTACAGCCAAAGTCCCTGTACCAGTAGCAGAGGGGATGACCTTTGTCTATCGGAAATTAAGTTATTCAACGGAAAGGTTTGGCAAGGGCCAATGTTTTTTTCGTTCGCTAGGCTTCTTGTTTTTTTTTTTAATCTGTGTATGCACTGCTCAAATATATAGATCTCATGACAATTCAGTTTGCTGGATGTCCAATGTTGGACAACAGTTGACGACAGCAAGGCTCACTGGGAAGCAGCTGCGATTCCTGGTTCTCTTGCAGCACTTGGTCTCGGAGGCCTTTTCTCGCTTCCCTAGCACTTGGTCCACCCGAGATCTACTATAGAACGATCATGCGCCAACGGCGGGTGAACCCCTGAACGAGACCCTTCCATGGTTTGAGGGTATGGTTTCGGGGGTTTGAAGAGAGGGTCACTAGCTTCCTACAATGTAATGTAAGATCAGCCAGAGCTTTTTGCAGGGTGCAAGCATTCCTTTTTTGAACCGGCCAACTACATGTAATTCGACACACTTCCATGTTTCATTGCCACCAGAACCATCGCCAGAAAATCTCCACTGATCCCTGCAACCCTGCCCTGGAACTAGCATGAAGCGGGGGAGGGGTATCTTATAATATCTTATATATGGTATCCTAAAAAGGGCAGGGGCCAAACTTGGGGGGCCGTCTGCAAATGACCACATAGAATGACCAGCACATTATAGCGAATCCGTAGATCATTTAAACATATTTAAACACTCCTCCTGCTCCTCCTCAGCATGTACGCATTACTTGGAAAAATTGAGTCTTTCCTGGAGGACAGCCTGGACGTGACTCGTCCAGAACGACTGCGCAAGCATCAGGCATGAAAGAATATGAATACATTGACTTAAGAATAGCCTGTGAAGAAATGAAGTGTCTGTCTTGTCGATCTTCTAGTCTATTCTATTGTTATTTCATGATATTTCATGTTTGTAGCTAGTTGTGATTTGTTGTCCTCAAGATAGTGCGGGCATGATTGGCGAGAGGACGTGTTCGAAGGCGTTTTGACGGATAGCATCAGCTCTCAGTTGGTGGAGGCCCTGCCACTCATGTTGATGAAAACAGGAAATATCAGAACCACCAGAAACATCCAGAAACCATCAAGTTCACAAGTGCCTTAGTCCAAGACAACCATGCCTGGGGAAGCCGCTGGTGGAGGCAGCGATTCATGTTAAAAACTTGCTTGACAACATTCACAAAGAAGATCAATTGGGGGGAGGCAATGCAAGGCTGCAAGAGGAAGTGCATAACAATGCATAACATCTCTTATTTTGTTTCGATTCATTTTGATTCTGAATTCTAAAATCTCTTGACCTGCCCAAATGATTCATACATGATCAATCATAATAATCAATATATCATAATATATCGAAATCACGCATTTTGATGCATTTTGTTCATGCCAGCGTCACCCCTGAGGATGCCCATCGCTGTGAATTTTCAATTGAAGGCCGATCCTTCAGTTTGCAGGACAGCCCGACTGGTTCGAATCTACCGCAATCTACCACCGACGATCACAAATTAAATACATAATTTTACATCAATGGGTACATCAATTTACAGTAATTTACATTATTTTACAGGCCGGTACATCAATGTATCACGTTGCCATGCAGCAGTTGCTGCCTCATGTTATCAGGACGTGCTCCAACTGGAAGGGCAGCAGGAAGAAAGGCCTGGGGCTGAGGTATGTCAAGCTATACAAAGACTGCAACACCTGGATCAAACCTTGCAAGATTTCGTTGATTGGTGTCATACGATTTGTGATATTTGTGGCTGTTTTTCAGTGTCTGCGGCCGTGCATCACCGTGCTATTCGTGCAAAGATTTCATCACATTTCGTAGAACATGCATTCACAGCAGGGGGTATGACACACTGTATTGGCAGGAAAAAACGTATTGCGCAGTTCCAAAGTGAGTCGTGCTGGCGAGTTCTGAAACAAGACTTGGAGCTAATCGAATAGTCGCTGATTGCTTCCAGACATATCCTTGGTCTTCCGAATTTCTGGAGCAGTGGAAATGGTATCTACCATGCCGCGGAACACCTTGATATCGTTGCACTCTCTGGCCAGTGGCCACTCTCTCCAGTGTGTGCCAGGCTGGTGCACGCGTTGGAGACCTACCTCCTTAGTTTTTGTGCCCGGAAAGGGTGTGTCTCTCAGTGATTCTCAGTGTGTCTGATGATTCTGATGCTCTCGGGAGCTTTTCATCGCTTTGGCATACCATCATGTCATCATGTCCCTTTGCTGTGTTGGTTGCCACAGGCTCTCGCCTGGGGGCAGCAAGCGGCTCATGCAGGTCATAGAAACCAGTCGTGAGTCGTGAACAGCCCTCAAACCAAACTGAGCAGACTGCTAGAATATTTATGCAATCTAAACATATCTATATATAGTTCTATATAATAATCATCTATACTTCAAATGACATTTGAGCCTTTGGTGTGTGTGTGTATGTATTTGAAGCTTGCAGGCTGTCACCACCCAGATGTCTCAGGTTCGAGTCCAAAAAAACAACACAAGTGGCAGTGATTCCTTGGACGTTGCCCTCTGTGGACAAGAAGACTACCTGAGAATCTGTCAGGCGGGTTTGGCCAACATTGACAGAGGTTCTGAAGCCTCCAGGCCGGTTTGGGCTGAGACATGATTTGGCTCCTTTCCGCCATAATTACAATATTGACACATATTGACAATATTGATAATCACATACTGGTATGATGTGATGGTAAGTCAGGAAACATTGCTGTGGGGTCTCGGAAAGCCATTTAGCCAGTTATGTGCAGTTTTCTTTTGCTTGTTTGTCCCTGTTACCTGGAAAACCTATAGCCTATCAATTCTTTCATCGAGTTGCCTACCTGTGTATCTTCGATGTATCCAAATGCCTCAGCAATTTGCATACCCACCTGCCTCCCTGCCCGCTCTAATCACTAATCATTATCATTGTTTCCGTTCTACTCAAGTCGTCATTGTAATCGTCGTCTTCATATTCATCACCACCGCAAAAACCACAACGGTCATGGTTGTCACAGTCACCTGAACCATTGAGTCATTGACCGCAATCTTCTTTTTCACAATCATACTTCTTTTGGTCAGCTGACGATACTGTACATGATGATTAGATTTGAGCAATATAATATATTATATATATATGTAAATATTCAGACATCTTCAGACCATTTTCTTCTGACAATGCAAGAATTGGCCCTGAAAATTGAGACTGTTTGCATAGTGACAATAAGCAATGAGGCTTCTCCCACTTGTCTCAGACAAACATGAGAGTTTGACCATGCAACTTCATTCATGTTGCAATCTCAGGCCACACTGTGAAGCATTTTAGGGTTTCGTTTTTGACTTGAATGAACCATTGTGTGTTTGGGATTTTTGCTTTCATTCCTGGGAGTGTAGAAGATGCAAAAACGTTGGCCAGTCCACCTTTTTCATCTTTGCTATTCCACCCTTTTACCCCAGGCATTTATATAAATAAATGTATATATATATATGTATATATATAATTATCAATTTTTTAGCTAGAACTGCGTCCCGGGTCTAAGTGGTACTGCACATGAGACGATTCACTTTCCATTCATGCAGTTTCACACACGTTATTGTTCTTTTTCAGGTAGCTTTCACTTGCAATTTGTCTCAACTCTGCAAGTAGCACATCACCAGACAATACCAAGTCAACTGACTCGACTGACCTGAAAACATGCTTCCATTTTGGCACTCTGCGATGGGAAAAGAGAGAGAGAGAGAGGAGACACACGAGCCTGCGCATTGAGCAGCCGGATTGAGGTACTTTGTTGGGTCCCAAGGGCTGGACCAGCGGATCGCTTACAATTTGTCAACGTCAAGAACTTAGCTTCACTACCTTTCACTGTATACATTGTCAATCTGCGGTTGAAAACAGGTGCTAACAGTTAGCAGTATTCATTAGGATGGTTCGGGGATATTAATTGTGGGATGAAAGGGTCTCCAACTTCCTACTACCCCGTTTGAGCTTACCTTCGGCACGGTTCATCATTCAAGGTGGTGGTTAAACAGGGAATCAGGATGAATCAAGATGGCTCGTCTGACAACTGCATATCCTAGCTCCCTTTATGCTGGACTCTGCTGGAACTCTTTGAGCAGCTTCCAAGGATGTATGTTCATGATCAAGAAGCACTGAAGCTATCTATTGTTTGCATGAGAACGGGTTTCACCCAGGCACATGAGTTGCTTTGAGTTACTTGCTTGATCTTGCTTGTTTCTCTGTGTTTCTCTGTGTGTTTGTTTGTTTTGCGGCGATGAGATTTGTGAGGGTCTGCCATGCCTGCATTTTCCTGTCAGTACCTGGACAAAGACGAGCTTTTGCATTTGGCAGGCGCCAATAAAGACCATATTTATATAATTTTGATTTTGCATATTTATATTGTGCGCCCGTTTCGCAATGCTGCCTTGTTCATTTTTGTTCAATTTTCATGTTGGCCTCGATGATCTGAGTGTTTTGCATGGCAGGTGTTCAGTACCCAAGGCGTTGCAAGCCGGATTCGAGCCCTGCCTGCAGTATTTGGAGCATTTTGAGCACACATATCATTTAAGATCATTAAAGTATCCATGAAGCTGCTCAACCGCGGATTATTCGTGACTGCTCATGGGCCTCCGACTTGTCTTGGGGATAACTTGCCCAAACTTTGGACTGGGATGTGGCCTGGATGCCGAATGCTGACAGGTATTTGTACCAGTATGCAACTCTTTGCTTCACGATTGGCCTGATTCCAAGTTGGTTCCAAGCGAAACCATGCAGTATTTGGACGCGTCAACCCATGGGACGCATTGGATGAAGTGCATGTTGATTTTGAGAATGCAAGAACTTGACGAAATAATCGAAATATATCGAAATCAAGCAATCACCTTGAATCACCTTGAAGAGGGCTTGCTCAGAAATCACCTGGGTCCTGATTTGAAGGTCCGCCTGTGGAAAACAGTGAGAGCATCGAATGTTCGGTGCTGGATGCCCTTGACGAGGTGCAACTGTATTGAAAATGCTTTCCAGCTGAAACTGCGTAGTGGGATGTAGTGAGAATATCTATCAAAGTAGCACTTGATCATACGTTCTTGTCACTTTTTGTTTTCAGTTGTTACTGTACAATTCAGATTCTTGTTCTGCCAGCATGGTTGTGGCATGTTATGGCCTTTGCATGCCTTTGCCATTGTGGCCAGTGTTGAAAGTGAATCAATGTCACATGATTCAGCTCCAAGGCACAGATCAATGCTGCTCTGGGAGAAGATGAAGAAGAAGTCATCTTGGACGAAGCACAGCTGCAGGTGCATCAGAATCCGGAGATCTCCCCCACTTGAATCTGCGCAAAAATTCAGAGAAAACTCATGGTGCAGATTGGTGCAGTACGTAAGTACATGTAAGTACGTAAATGGAATCTCCTGTCTAAAGCACTTTGTGACATGTCAAGAGCGCCGCATTCATTAATTTCAATAGCTCACAAGATCATCCGCCTAGTTTTTCAATCCCAAGTATGTTTGCTGCAGTGCTTGCAGTTGCTACTGCTACCTGCTACAAGTTCACCCATCTAATGCTTTAAAGATCTTTAAAGTGTGTGTGTCCAAACAGCTACACCAAACCCACTTCCACGTCGATGATGCACTGCCTCCTCGAGGTGACATAAAAGAATGACGCCTGATATTGGGGGGGCCGGGCAGCCAGCCTTGATGTTTTGATAATGTCTTGATATGTCTTTATGTAGAGTACCAGCATTCATGTTGGAGCAAAAACAGCCTGACGTGATGTGTTTTTCTGCTTTCATTTGGCAAGGGTCATTCCCAAATGAGCTGTCAATAAGACAGCGCATGTGTCTCCTTGGAAAAATTTGGCGCTGCTGAACTGGAAAGTGGAAGGAAACTCTGCTTGTCTCATCCAATTTCTTTGTTTGCGAGCTTCAAAATGCAGGGCAGATGACATGGGAAAAATCTTGTGGCTGCGAGTGGCTCCCATAGGAGCGTCACATTCATCGTAGGAAATCTCAAGGGACAGGAAATCACAACATGCTTCAAGATTCATTCGAATTCGCGGTATACTTCAACGGATGTCAAGTGCAATTCCATGCTGCTGGTGACATCTTAGCACGCAAGCAGAGGCATCCACAGACAGATCCATTGATTCAACATACAATGTTTATCTATGTTTCAATTTCGAATTTGAAGCTGGTTCGTGGCCACGCTGGTCACAACTGGCCCTAGACATGGCTGCCTCGCGCAGTGGTGTATCCATAGCTGGAGCTCTAGAGCATTCGCAGGCGGGCGTCCAAGCTAATCTAGAGTTAATACGTTTCCGTTTTTGGATGCAGATTATGAGAGGCTGCAAGCAGGGCCTTCGACTATCCAGTAGTGGCGCCCGCCTTAAAACGTGGCCTGAGAAAAACAGCAACATGTCATCAAATATACTGTACTATACATATCTATACATACGTATAAATATGATACATGATATATAGCATATACATGCATATAATTGTGTATATAACTTATAACAGATACATACGTACGCACATACGTTTGTACGTACATACCTACATACCTACATACCTACGTACCTACATACCTACATACCTGAATACCTACAAAGCTACATACCTACGTACGTACGTACCACCTACCTACCTACCTACTACCTACATACCTACCTACCTACATAACTACATACCTGCCGACCTGCCTCCCTGCCTGCCTACCTACCTACAGACATACACACATACATACACATATACAAACGTACAAACATACATTACATACAAACACGCGTCCATTCATACATGCATGCATACATGCATTCCATTCCATGCATTCCATACATTGCATACACTCCATACATTGCAACATTACATTCATCTCATACATCTTATACATTAACATTACATCATTAACATTACATGTATATCATACATGACATATTTACATAGATTTACATACATACTGACATACATAAGTACATGCAAGCATGCATACATACATACATCACCTTACGTTGACCCTGCATTACAATTTTTTATACAATTTTTGCATTCCATGGAAATACTAATACTTGTTTACATTACACTGCAGAATATCACATTTAAGTACATTGCATTACATTGCATTACATTGCATTTCATCACATTATATACTGTACATTGCATTACATTTCATTACATTACACGATATCACATTACATAATATTACATACGCTCAATGGATTTCGTAACATAAGGTTGCGCTTTATAACTTTTTATTGCATGATATTATATGTTAAATTTCATTACATTGTATTACTTTTCTTGTGCTGAATTTCATGTCATTGCATCACATTATTTTAAGTTGAATTGCATTACATTACTTTACTTTACCTTTCTGTTTCCTTTTATTGCATTACATTTTTTACATTACATTTTTTAAATTACATAATATGACATTGCATTACATTGAGGTACATTCCATTCCATTGCATTACATTATATCACATTGCATTGCATTGCATTATTTTTTACTACATTGCATTATATTACAATTTTTACACTCTGAAACCTTACATTGCATTACATTACATTGCATTCAATTGCACTACAATATGTTTTGATTTTTTTACATTGCTTTATATTGCATTTTTCTACATGCCATTGCATTACATTTCATTACCTTGCATCCCATTCATTACAGTACATTGCATCACATTGCATTACATTACACTGCATTATATGACATCACATTGGCCTGCACTATTTTTATATTTCATTGCATTACAGTACATACATTACGTTGCATTACATTATTACACTACAATTTGCTGGATGACGCTACGTTACATACGTAGGTAGGTAGGTAGGTAGGTAGGTATGTATGTATGCTGTATGCTGTATAATAATATAGAGTATATTCTATAATATACATATTCACGCATAGCTCCCTGAAGCATCGACACTCAGGTATGTAGCACAGTCAGTGGTTATCCTGGAGGCGATACTTCACGCCAAGCCGAATGGAACTTCTGATGGGTTGGTGCGGAGTGGTTCTGTAGTTGTAAGCTGTAGTATCAGAATGTGGCAATTCACCAGGGGTGGACTACGTGGTTAGGGATGCGTCGATAGCTCAGCTGATTGCTACATTTCCTTGTGATGAGCTAGGCCTTTTGTGTGCACACATTGGATTCATTTATCTTGTATTTTTCGGCTCAAAGGACGTTTCGCTTTGCGCGTCGCATCCGTCTTCCCGGTTTGTCGCCTTCTGTACGCCTCCATCTGATCGGTGAGTCAGATGGATCAAACGTCTGTCTCACCTATCGCCATGTTCCTTTTAGCTGGTCAGAGCAATATGTCTGGTCGCGGTGAGATTGTTGGAGACTCCGTGTACGACTCCCGAATCCTCAAGATTGCTGGTGGAACTTGGAGTGTAGCAAGACACCCTTTGCATGCCGACAAACCTGAAAAAGCTGGAGTCGGACCTGGCATGTCCTTTGCCAGATCAATTGTGGCCGGTGTCTCAGTGAGTTTCAACCAGACAGTAGAAGAATAATCAGTTATCTCCAGTAGTCCCGTACATGAGAACTGACAAACTATTCGGAGCAATAAAGCAGCCTGACTTAGTCAGCAGACTTTTTCACGGCGTTCCTGCTTGGTTTCAGGATTTCGTGCCTGCGCCCGTTGGTTTGGTGCCATGCGCCTTCGGAGGGAGTGAAATTCAACGTTGGATTGCAGCTGGGCGGAAAGAGGGAGTCTTCAGATTTTTCAGGCAATCCACACCAGTCCACTGCCATGTCTAAAAGACATATAACTATGAAAAATATTGTATTATATAGAAGAAATTCGAATATTGTAAAAGGATTGCAAGGCCTTCTACGCTGGGGTAGTACAGCAGGTAACAGTATATAGTATATAATCGTATTTTTTGGTATGGACGTGACATTGAACTGTCTTTTGCGTATTTTTTTCGTTTGCATGTTGAGGCATTTGAGGCGCAACTTTGCTTGCATTTGCATGTTTTTTTTGTAATGACATGATATGTCCAAAACAGAAAAATGCAAGAGGCACTGTAAATAGTGGCAGGTTGTGTAATTTACTTTTCCCTGCAAGAAAGCTGGGTATATGTGCGATGTTGTGATGTTGTGTTGTTGTGCTGGATCACGTTGGTGATGTCTTGCCTCCTTTTTTTAAAACATTTTTAATTTTTATACGGTTTTGCAATACGTTATCCTTGCTCATCCTTTCTTCACACATCTCATCCGTCCATCGGAGTGGCTTATCCCCATTAGATGGCAACATATTTGGCAAGCATAAGCCCAAATTGCCAGACATGCTCCAATATTTCTGCTATTCGTACGGTTCACTGTAGCTTGCGCCACGGGGGTTTGGGTTTGGCACCATTGGTTTTAATCACGAAAGCTGGCGGAGTTGGAGTTTATCTGCTTCAGCAAGGGACGGGCAGCTCTGAGTCCAACACACACAGACTTTAACTCTCCTCCCCCCAAACCTTCTGGAGCATTTTGGAGCAGTTTCAGAAGCAGAGGGTTATGGGCTCAAATTTCAGGTATCAGGCAAGCACATAGAGCATTCAAAGACAAGGCACTTGCGTAAGATCGACAGAAAGTTCAGTTTTTTCATTTTATTGCAAATGGTCGACATGGAAAATATGTAATTACTGAGCACATCAAGGTGCCATGATGTTTCCAGACTCTTGTGAACCTTTGGCTGTTGTGCGCTCACCCCGATGCTCAAGTCGGAATTTGCGATTTTCCTGTCTTGACTATACATGGTATAATCAAACGAAGTTGGGAAGCAATCTTCCGATTTACGGACAAATAGAATTGTGAGACTTTGCATCACACAACAATACATTCATGAAGGGGGGTGTGAGACTTTGCATCACATAACAATACATTCATGAAGGGTGTGTGAGACTTTGCATCACATAACAATACATTCATGAAGGGGGTGTGAGACTTTGCATCACGTAACAATACATTCATGAAGGGGTGTGTGAGACTTTGCATCACACAACAATACATTCATGAAGGGGAGTGTGACACTTTGCATCACATAGCAATACATTCATGATGGGGGGTGTGACGCGTTACATCACATAGCAATACATTCATGAAGGGGAGGTGAGACTTTGCATCACAGTCATCACATAACAATACATTCATGAAGGGTGGGGTGTGAGACTTTGCATCAGATAGCAGTATATTCATGAAGGGGGGCGTGAGACTTTACATCACATAACAAGGGAAGATCGGGAAGTGCCACGTGATGCTGCAAAACGCATTGTAATGACGAATGGACGTGGTGACGAAGGGAGTGTGGCACCTAGGTGGTGCTGCAAAACGCATTGCGACGGCTGCATGATTGTTGCATGGGCTTTGTTTTGGGGAAGAGCCAGAGCACGAAACCTTTTGTTTTTCCGTGTGCAGAGGCGGCAGCCGACCTTGGGTGCGCGGCGGTTGCGGGTGCGCTCGTTTCGAGGCGTAATCTGTTCTCCCTTGGTGTTCTGCACCATGTGGATGCAAGTCGCATTGTAGTGGCTGCTTGGATGTGTGGGTGGTGCTGCAAAATGTATTGTAGTGGCTGCATGATTGTTGCATGGGCTTTGTTTCGGGGAAGTACTTTGTAGACGCTTTTCCTGTGTAAATGCATCTGCGTCTCAAGCTTCGGTGTGCTGACAGTAAGAGCTTTCTGGCGTGCAGAACAGCTGAGATGAGTTGAGAAGAACTTTGAGGAGATGAGAAAGGCTGATCAATGCTAATTACACCACAGTGCAAACAGTTGAGAAGAATTTACTTAGATGACATGTGAGAAGAAATGGGATGAGATGAGAAGAGCTGAGACGAGGCGAGATGAGGTGCGAAGAGCCAAGATGAAATGCGATGAGATGAAGTGTGGAGTGTGAAGTGTGAAGTGCGGAGTGCGGGGTGTGAAGAGCGCAGTGTGAAGTGTGAAGAAAGTCTTCGCTTGGAGTTGCATTGCGCCGGAGTCGTGCGCAGGTCATGTTCTTGGACGACAACAGTGCAACAGCTTCGCACGAAGCACGCACGCACGGGCCTGGCTGGTGCACGGCGAATGCAAGTTCTATAGATGAAAAAAGTCTTGCAGTACAACCCTATGTAGGCAACTTCCGCCCCGCCTCGTGCGGGTACTACTACTGGTATACTTCAATATTTACACATATTTACACCCTGAAAACAAACATCTAGCGCGAATTCCACATGTTCGGTTGGGAGGGAAGGGAAGAGGTGCAATGTGATGTAATGTGCCGTACTGTTATGTACGATTATTGTAATGGTACACTGAATTGTAATGACTGAGTGAAAAATTGCAGTCGATTGAAGCACGACTGAGGCAGGTGGTGACTTGCTTCAGGCAGCCAAGGAGACGGTGGCACAAGGACAAGCAGCTGGTGGTGTTCTGAAAGGTATCCTTTGGCATCAAGGAGAATCAGACTGTGGAAGTGGAAGCCTTTGGAAAAGTGATACTTTGAGCGAGTTGAATCGAAATGCATCAACAATATGGTACAATATGTAGCATCATGTAACATGTATTACGAAAGCCAGCCGGACATGCTGTCTCGTTGTTGTTTGCGAACGTAGTGAGAGATTAGGGGGTCTGGTGGGGGGGACCCCTCCCCTCGACAAACGGGATCCAAAATCACAGAATTAGGTGGTGTTTAGGGTGGCTTTTGGGGTCGTTTTGTCGTACCAGGTGGCAAATGGGTGACGGTGGGGTATATCGATCCGCCCCCGGTCCGTGATTTTTGGGCTTCTTCTGGCACCAACTGGTGTGTTCCTTTGTGGGCATGTTAGGGCTAAAGGGAACATGTGGTTTGTAGATATCGGGGCTGCTTGTAGCACCAAATTCCTTTGTGGGGCTGTTTGGCCTAAACGGAACATGTTGTTTTGGGGCTGCTTGTAGCACCAAATGGCGTGTTCCTTTTTGGGCATGGTAGCCTCAAAAGGAACACGTAGTTTAGAAGGAGATAGAGAGACAGAGCGCCTGGTAGGTT